TCCTAAAACCTGCAATTAATTTTAAACCAACACGTGGTTTGCTCGATTAATGTACATTTATATGTACAGTATTATCATAATAATATGACATGGGCTTTTAATTTTCAGTTAATGACACCACAGATTTCACCATTGTCAAATCAGGGGGAGAAACGGTGTTAACAGGTTCTGACGGAGGCATTGGAGTAACACACAATGTACAACACAGCCAGACATTCACTGACGCTCCAGATGGCCACTTGTCAGCTTAGTGCACAACACCCCACTGAGCTCAGACCCCACTGGCCCCAACACTGAGCATGCAGCCATCAATAGCCACGAGGATAGCAACTTGTTCTGTCATTATTTTGGACCTTGATAAATAGAAATAATTTGGATGATTCTAATTGGCCTATAACAGGAGACGTTTGGTCCAGTCCATCTTCAGACAGTGAGAAAAAAAGGTGTGCCTTTTATTAAGTGTATGTAAACTTCTGGTTTTGACTGTGTAGTTCTATACTGTAAGTATTACCAGAACTAAAAAAAAAAGAGAAGAAATATAGAAAAAACGAGATTTCAGTTTAAAAAAAAGACAATATAAAATAAAAGGAAGGTGGGAAAATTATTGTCGGAATAGTACTGTTGCGCCTAAACAGTACTAGGATTACAGTTTTATATGCAGATAAACAACGACTGATTGAAGAAAAGCAGTCATAGTGTTGCTATTTGGGTCTTATTCCTGCACACATACGGATGCGAGTTAACTGGAAAATATGATCCGTCTTCAGTGCAGCCCTAATTTGCTGAACCCCTCCCCTGTTCTGTATACCTACCTGTGTTATTATCTTAAGAGCCTGCTGTGTTTAGATTACAGGGTTTTATGTTTCAGCTCGTCACTAGTGAGCCCAGTGCATTCTTTTCAACGGCATAGTTGGTGTCTCTCATCCCTGCAAACATCTTTTTTTTGTTGCCTTTTTATATTACACTTTATTTTTTTATAGGCTTTGTGGCTAAACTATTTAGACCGCATATTTAAAGTTGATGACTTGAAGAATCTTTGTTCACTTTTAGTTGTTGGTAAATCCGTTTTTGCCTCTGGGGGGATTTTCAGAAGATAAAAGTAAGTTGGCTTTGGGTCCCCGAGTGTCTAAGGAACAAAGTTAAATGGGGGTTTTGACAGTTTCCTCTTCCTGTTCCAGCAAGCCTAGGAATTTCTCAGTCGTAAGATGTGCCTTTAAGTGTTGTTTTGCAACAAAAGGACCTTAAATGTACCCTTCACATAGCTTAGACCTGACATAATGACACCCCCTTCCCTCAGGCCATTGTTTAGAAAAATCTTTATTTATAAGGACATTATACAAATCGTGGTGTTACCAGGGGATACATAAAGATAACAATTCCAAATGGAAAACCACAACTATCATGGAAGAGCAGTGTATTTGACTTATGAGGTTAATTAGCAGCGGGGCACATCTTGCTAGATGCATCGATTTACTTAATTATCATTAAGTTTGACCGGATGTTGTTGCAGTTTGCTGGTCTTTAGCGTCCAGTTTTACAAAATGCATTTGAAAAGCACTTCAGCATTGATCCTGGAGAATCGCTATGGATTATAAGGCCAGTCCAAGATAATTCAGACACATCCGTTCTGCAGAGAGAATGATTTCTGTGGACACAGCATTTAAGAGAGTTGGCAATACTCCAAAGTGTGGATGTCCCAGAAAGCTCCCGCTGAAGAAGCGCAGCATCCTGAGAAACTGCAAACAGAAAACCTTAAGGCTGCAGTTCAGACTCAAAACAGCTTTAATTTACATATGGACAGTAAGTACGACATGGAAAAACATCTAACAAATGCAAAATAAGATTTTAACCTGAAGCACAAAAATTTACATAACTAACAGCCATTTACACACTCACACCTGGACACACTTTAGAGGGACCAATTAACCCAACAGTGATGTTTCGTAACTGTGGTAGGAAGTCAGAGTACCCTGGGAGACCGCCTGCATGCACAGGGAGAACATAGAAAATGTTCATGGTTAAATAAAGGTACAGATAAATGTGTATTTTTTTGCCTACCTAAAGGCAGCATATTGCTTTCCTTGTATTCACACCTTCCCAAATAGGTGGTAGCTTTGTAGAATCTCTACTTTCCTAGAAGCGGTTTTGTTGCTGTTATGTAGACACATTAAAAAAAGTCTTGTGGTTGTGTTCCTATTTTTGGATTGTTACAGAAGCAAATTATGAGTCAAGCTATTCTCCGCACCTACACATCCCGCTGAAATGAGAGGCGAATCGCTGCTTACCTCATGTTTAGGAAACTTAAAAGTCCCAGGGCACCAATGAAGCTTTAAGCAAAATCCATAAATGTTCACATGTACTTTGTTTTTCCAAGACAGGGGTAGCAGTTTGTGATGTGACTAAAGGTTGTTTTCTATGGAGAGCATGGTTATGTTGATGAGCCTCTATGAGGATTTATGTCACGTAGCTGAACTGACCCGGATCGGTGTCCATCAGTCCAGTGGCATGATGCTTTCCCTGCACATGCATCAATGTGGAATGATTGACATTCTCACTAGTGGCTACATTTCTTCTGTGCTGTCAAGAAGAGAAACGGCTCTATTCCTGTTTAGTTTGGTTGGCCCTGGCACTGTGGAAACCTTTTTTTTAATTTGGAGTGTTTTTTTTTTTTAATACTGTTGCAACTACACAATTTACACACACAAGTACTGAAGGGGATTGGAAAGTCGGGTTAGAAAAAGTTGGAACAATACTCTACTTGTTTCCTATTGCAGGTTAGTAAGACAGAGAGATATTGTTACCCCAGATTTCTGTTACTTAACTGTTCATGTGCCTTAAAATGGTTACCTTAATTTGTGGATCCAGGCTTAAAAAGCAAAAGCACACATATGTTGCAACTCATGTTGGGTTACAGAGGCAGGCAGGTTCAGTCATGCACAGTTGTTAGGGGTTTTTTTCCAAAAAAAAAAAAAAAAAAGCCTTTATAAAGAACTGTACTATCTTTTTTATAGGAGGATATCTGGGACAGTGATCAGTGACTGTTCTGTTGACATTTGAATAAGTTCTGTTTTCTCATAAATACACTCACTAGTAAGCTACAGTGGACAATAGACTGTACTGTGCCACAAGAAAAACATCTGTGTGCAGTTTGCTGTCCAACTTGTTAGCAAGTGATTAACTCCCGATGCAGCATTAATAGATGAACGATTTGTATAATATCATAAAGTATAATATAATATAATATAATATAATAACATTATATTATGTAATATAATATTATATTATACTATTCCACAGTTTTATAGATCCTCTTTAAGTAGCAGAACCTTCATTAGCAGACACAGATTTAGACTTCAGGCCTAAAATACATTCTTTTTCTCTACACAAGATGACATCTGCAGAACCATTAATTTTTAACATTCAAACAAATAAAATATGAAGAAATTTTAGCAGGAAATGGTACGGCCCTGATGTAGCGCAGAGGGTAATGTTGCAGGCACTTATACTTTGTGTTTGTTCCCGTTTGTTTGTTTTCCTGTGAATTATATAAAAAGAGGAGGATTACATTAATAATCTAAAACATTATCCATTGCAGTGCAAGTCAGTGGTGATCAGAGAACATAATGAAGAGAGAAATGGGCGCAACAAGGTAGAAAAACAAGGTCAGCAAGAGTTTATGTAACACTCCCATCACTGCAAGCTTGAGTGCATGCAGCAGCAGGAGGTTGGGATTTTTTTTTTTTTCCACTTACATGCATCAGCTACACACATGCATACTAAAACACTGCAACCCCTAAAGAGTCCTAAAGCTAGAAAAGGAAACATGAAGGGGGGGATAAGAGCTACATCCCTGGGTAATCTTCACTCCCATCTGCTGATGGTCTCTGGGCTTAAAACGGAGGGAGTTGTCCTGCCTTGAGGACGGAGGATGGAGTCTGAATAAGTGGTCTGGCGAAAACCCTCCTCCTGCTTGCAGTCCCCCTATACAGCAGGGGGTAGCTTCTGAGAACAAATGGTAATTGAACAACACGTTGGTTGACTTCAGCTTTAAATAACTCATGTTCACTCAGCCTGTCACTGCAGTCTGTGGTGCATTTTAAAAGGGGCTGACTCAATCATCATGTAGTCACGGTTTAATAGGAGGTTTTGGCTGGTTAATATAACTAAAACTTGTTCAGAAAGTAAAAGGTTGTTTTAGCTGAGTAAACCAGCTGAAGTTGCATTTGCTTTATGCTATTACACTGCTATTTCCGTCCTGTATTGAAATTAATGTCCCTTTGTTATCTCCTTTAGGAAGTGTAGCAAGTTACATGCATACATCACTTCTTATATTTATATTTTTTTGTCTTCAGTGGCTCAAAGGTGTAATGCAGGATTTTTGCTGACATTTGCGTCAAAACATTATAAGTAAGGCAACTGCTTATCTACAATAGAGTAATTGGGCTTTTGGGGTGAAGCTAATAGCTAGTTTGAGAAGAACCAAAACTAAAACTACCCCTTGAAAACCCTCAAAATGGCACAATTTGTGCATTTTTTTTTAATTTTATGAACCTTTAGACTATTGTGATGGTTGCACTGGGTTGTTATTTACAAAGGACCCAATGGTAATTTAGATGGAGGATGGAGTTTAGAGGTGATGTCCCACCAAAGATCCTTCTTTGTTAAAAGCACTAAGAATTGCTCATGTTCAGCATTTCCTGTCTAAAACTATGGGAAGATAGATAAGTTTAAGAGTAAAAAATTCAATAAAATTAGTGTTTAATTAAATCAACATATTTTGTACTTGACTGGAAACAATTTACCTGGTCTGTTGTCAACGTGTGTTCCTTATAGGAAGGTCACTAGTGACAAACTGCCTCCTATCTTCTTTTCCCGAACTACAATTCTTTTAATTAGTTTTGTATACTTTGTAATTTCTTGTAATGTTGCCATTGATTCTTTACTGAAATAAAATAAAGAATGCTTTCTTGAAAAACAAACTTGAATTTGTATTTTTTTAGGGTTTTGTGGACCTGACAGCTGCTGAGGTCTCAAGTTGTCTGAAGATTCGGTGACAAGATGCCAGAAAAATCATTGAAGTTCTGCAGGTATGCCAAAAATGCTGAACAGTTTCCATGTCTGTTGGTTTGATTTGTAAATGGAGCACAAAATAAATGTATCTGTTTTCCATTTAGACTCTAAATCATGGGGAACACTGAGAGCCAAAACGGGGAACATGCCCTCTACAGTACTGGACGTGGCTATTTGTCACGGAAGCACATGTCTCGGTCTCTCCGCATTTCCAATAAACAGTCCAGGCGTTCTCGGCATGCTTCGTCGGGGAAAATGGAGCACAGAAACTCTGAGACGAGCACTCGGTCAAGTAGCACCCCCAGCATCCCACAATCCTTAGCTGACAATGGGTTGGAACCCTTCAATGAAACAAACAACTTCCCTGACTTTGGAAGCCCCATTTGGGTGGATCGTGTGGCAATGAGTTTGCGCCCTATATCCTTTCATAATGATCTGGCCAATCCCTCAGTGCATATGAATACAATGCACATAACCCTACCTGGTCCCACTGCGGAAGAGACGCAGGATGAGGAAGTGTACACAAATGAGGTTAAATATATTCAGCAGACCTTAGAGTGCTCCAAAGAGACAATCAGCTTCAAAAAGAGATCGAAATCTGCAGACACCTGGCGAGATGACAGCCTAGAATTTTCCCTGTCTGATGTCAGTCAAGATAATTTAACCAGCACTGAGGAGATCATCGACATGGCTAATGAGAGAGACTTCCCTGACTGTGAAGGCCACATGCAGTTCAGCCCAACAGACTCCGCCGACAGAGCAAACTCGCTGGATGAACTGTACAGTGATACCAGCCCTGCCTCCAGAACCCACGGCCGCTATGCCAAGTGGCATGACACCAACAGGTCCGTGGGAGAGGGAGAGGATGGTAAGAGGCTGTCACCGTCAGAGGAGGATGGGACTTCATACGGCGCGTACACTCTTCCCTGCCGACGTTCCCACTGCCTGTCTGAAGGCCTGAGCAACCTCCAAGCCACAATGTGCAAGAGTATGCAGGGCCGGAGGGCGCAGACCATACAGGTGAGATCTTTGCTTTATCTGTGAGTTCACCTTTCACATCTCTAATAATATTTGGCGTATCATTTCTGAAATGCGACATGGATTCAGGAAAAATGAAACAGCAACAGCTGTTCATAACAGGATAAGCTTAGGTAAACACACCAAGGTGTTGTCACATAAAGGTATTTACACAAAATGTAACATGACCTTTACATTTCCTAGAATGGAAAAGACACATCTGTTCCTTTAGCATATTTAATATTACAGTTGTAAATGACTACTTAAGCAAAAATATAAAATAAACCACATCTGTCTATATTCTTTATTCTTTTGGACCACAAAGGTCCAAAAAGAATCTTAATGATCCCAAAAGAGTCAACAGTGAAACTTTCCCATAGGCACATCTCCTGTGATGGTGGCAATTTTCAGAAAAACAACAAAGTAGTGACTGTCAAAAGTGGCGGTGGTAGTGTAATGGTCTGGGGCTACTTTGCTTCTTCAGAGTCCATTCGACCTGCCGTAATTGTAGGGTTTGTCATCTAGTAGCTCAATGATCCGATCCACCAAGCCCACCTCTGAATGAATAAACAAAATCCCAATGAACGTTTTTAGAGTGCCATAGTCATATTGAAATATTGTGCATGAACCTTCAGCTCATGCCATGAAGAATAGTTGGACCAAATTCCTCCACAGTGACGTAAAAGAATACCAGTCTCAGATACTTGATGACAGTTGTAGCTGCTAAAGGATGTTACTATGTACAGGAGATAGTTACTGGGATCAAGTTAATAAGGATACATTTTTAGCCTAATCAATTAAATAATTTTAAAATTGCATTTCTGGTTATCTTTGGTATCAAAATTTTGTTTTATCTAAAATAAATGTGAGAAATTAAGATAGCTAAGATCTCTAACAAAATAAGCACTTTGCCATAATTTGCTAATTAATGCAAAGGAAAAACTGTAAATGACCTCAGTCATAGTCAAGACAACACATGGCATTATTTTACTTTTGATGATTATTAATAATCCTCGTTGTCTCTGAGAATTTCTTGTATTGAACCCAACCCATAAAGTTTCTGCATTTCACCTCTGATGAAACCATGTTTTTTTTGGTTTTTTTCCTGGGAAAGGAGACTGGAGAGAAGAGAGGGAGTGAGTGCAGATTTAGTCACTGTGTTAGAAATGCCCGGGGCCTTTGTTATGATAATGAGGGGAGGCCTGTGCAAGAGTGTAACAGTAAAACGTGTGTGGTGGCCCCTGTCATGACAGGGCACCGTCAACCTTGTTGAATGGAGCTCCAGCGCGCATGATTAGGTCATGTGACCAGATGGAGATACCAGGCTCTGTGTATCCCCTTTTATCTCCCAGGAGCCTTTGGCCCTGTGAGGAGGAGAGTGCAGACCTTGTGGTGCCACAGGGAGGGCAGGCCGTGTTCATGCAGAAGAATCCTTGCTGTTCATTAATTTTAATCAGAATCTCAGCATTAGACATTCTAGATCCATCTTTAGCTTATAGTAGTCTAGGATTTTTTAAAACTTGCTTGCTTTTCAGGAATAGCTCTATCATGTATCTGGAGATATCACTGAGTTGTCATTCATGATTTATCATCGTTTCCTGGCTGTGCTCCTGGTGATGAAGAAAAGGCGGTTGCCATGCCGTCTCACCTGCCTCGTTTCATCTTCCAGGATGTCACGGCCGGAGACGGCAGTGAATATGAAGACAGCGGGATCGACGGGGTGATGGTGGAGGCAGTGCACCAACCTCGACGCTACAAGACGATGTCGGCGTCCTTCTCCGTCTGTTCCATGCACGGGCGGAACGTGTTTGTTGGCAGCGACAGCGGCAGCAGCAGTGGCGGCGGTGGCGCCAGCGAGGGCGTGCAGGGTGTGTACGAGAACTTCCGTCAAGAACTACAAATGAGTTCCTGCCAAACGGAGAGCTTGGAGGAAGCGGGCTCCGCACTTAGCGATGAGCAGAGCACCATGAGCTCCGCCTACCAGTCCGATCTGTTGCTAAGCGTCGTCCAGGGGATGGTCCGTAAAGCTGGAAAACTTGCTGTAAAGAACTTCCTTGTGCACAAAAAGAACAAGAAAGTTGAATCTGCCACAAGACGCAAGTGGAAGACTTACTGGGTTTCCCTAAAAGGTAAGTTCCAACACAGTACAACATTGGCATCACACATTACTAAATAACTCTAAAATTATAACCAAGACCACATGGTTTACCTTTTTATTCTCAATGTCAGACATTGAATCAGTACACATTTTTCCTGTCTTAGATTTGAATTTCTAAAATTATTTCTGTTTATTTGTCTATTTGTTTGAATAGCTTAAAGCTGCCTGAATTGGGTCAAATGTTCTGGGTATCTTTCAATGAGTTTCTCACACCAGTTTCATAGAATTTTAGTAATGGTGAGATTTCGTAGGCCACCTTGTTTACACTCACACAACTTTTCAGCTATAATCACAAATTGTTTGCACTTGTCACCCCTGAGACTTGCCAGCTTTCTCTTTATTCTTCCCAATGTACAAAAGGTTGCTATGGCCAAACTCTAAAAGTAGTTTTGAGCAGAACACAAGATGCGACTCCAAATATAAAGATCTTGGTCCCTGAGTGTCTTTGCAAACTGTACTTTTGGAGTGAAAATGGCTTCTTAGTTGCTGAATGGCCCTTCAGCCAGCATCTTTATGAATCCTTTAGCCTTTGTTCTGCGATTGAAATGCACATTTTTGACATCCATTTCCTTGCCACAGAACCCGTCTTCCTAACTGAACAATGTGATGGTTAGACATTGTCCTTTTTAATTGTGCTTAATTGTTTGAAGAGGTAAAAGTAGCACATCCAGGCATGTAGAAATTGTAGCCAAGCTGCACCTTCCTTTTTATATACTGTATGTAAACTTCTGGTTTAAACTGTATATTAACAATGACATGTTTGACTTAAAACCTTTGCATACCTTGGTGCATCATGGGAATAGCAATTCATATAATCTTGTGCTTTTACTGTTGTGTTGCTTGACAATATTTTAAAATAAAAATCATGGCCTTGTCCAAGTCAGCACTGCTGCACTTCTTAATCTTGGCCACTGGAGAGCAGAAGTAAATTGCTGAAGCGATTTAGGCTTTCATGGAAAATGAAGACTGAAACCAGCAAGTATGCTTCTTAAAAAAGATGTTTTGGTTTTCCAGGATGCACTCTCTTCTTTTATGAAACCGATGGCCGGTCGGGGATTGACAACAACAGTATTCCCAAGCACGCCATATGGGTGGAGAACAGTATCGTCCAGGCTGTGCCAGAGCACCCCAAAAAGGACTTTGTGTTCTGCCTCAGTAATTCCTTGGGGGATGCATACCTTTTCCAGGTAAAAAAATAAATAAATAAAAATGTTTCAGTGTCACCAGGTGGCCATTGAAAAATGAAGGTTCAACATATTTAAATAATTCTTGTTTCCATTAAAATCAAAGTCTGAGCTTTACTGTAGAAGATTTTAAAAGGAATGTCTATCAAAGCAATAAATAAGTATTCAACACAAACTTCCAATTGTTTTACTATAATTTTGTTTGAGAGACCAAAGTTTTGAAAAGTAATCCATTCTTTTGAATTCAGCCACCACCCAGGAACATGCTTCAATCTAAATTGTCCTCTGACTGTACGTAGGTTCATTATCCAGCTGATAGATGAACGTCCTCCCCATTCTCAAGTATTTTGCAGCCTTGATAAAGTTTTTTTTTTTTTTTTTTTTTTCCAGGTTTGTCTGTATTTAGCTCCATCCATATTTTCATCAAATCTGTGTCTTGGCTGCTTCTATGATTAATGCTCTTCTTACGCAGAATTTCAGTTTAATTAAGACAACTGACATCATATTAGGTTTGCAGTTGTGCCATTCTCTTCAGTCATTGACTCTGAAAGGAACTGTGATCTGTGAGATTTGAAAGTTCGGGACATTGTTCCTGATCCGTCTGCTGTGTTTCATCATGCCGCTGGTTAACTATTACTGTCTAACAAACATCTGAGGATGGTAACAGAAATGATATATTTGGACAAAGAGTAAATGCACACACTTTCAAGAGGCAAACTGGTGGTTTTATCTTTTTTTTTTAAACGTATAGTTTCACTTACAGTTTACACATTTGCTCGACTGATGCGCTAAAGTTTGATTTATCATAAAATCAAACTTCATGGTTGTAATGTGACTAAAAATAAATAAAAGGAACACGAATGATTTTGCAAGAAATTGCATGTCGACGCGTTTAACCTCCAAACTTCTTCTTTCTGCCTCCATGAAGACTTGCAGCCAGACAGAGCTAGAAAACTGGATCACCGCCATCCACTCGGCATGCGCCACCGCCGTCGCTCGCCAGCATCACAGAGAGGACACCGTTAGGCTGCTGCGTGCTGAGATCAAGAAGCTGGAGCAGAAGATCGACATGGATGAAAAGATGAAAAAGATGGGAGAGATGCAACTGTCTGCTGTCACTGACACCAAGAAGAGGAAGACAATCCTGGATCAAGTAGGTTTCATAACCCTCGCTGATACGCCCCTCACTCTGCCGGCGTGCTGGGTGTTTATCCCATCGGCTGATGTGTTGAACTTTCTGCTCTCCAATCCTTCATTATATCGAGGTCAAGCTTGAACAATCAGTTTACTTTGAGATTCTTAGCTGTTAATTGCATGACAGTTTCCGCTTGAAATATTATTTGTTAATTTTGATGATGGCAAAAAAAGATGGAAGTATTATTTAAAGTATGGAACAATGAAATTTACCCCCTTTTTGTTATTTTCCATGTGAAACAAGTGTTTCCAAAAGAGCTAACTTTATATTTACCATGCTATCATTTGGCTTTAACTGAGTTAAACTCAGTGTTAGAGTTGCAATACATCCAAATTAACAGGCTCATTATTAAAAATGCAAAATATGCTTTGACTCACTTATATTGCTTTTGAAATATCTAAAAGTAGAACAGGTTTATTTTATTGATGTTAATGTATGTTG